CATTAAAAAATTGTTATTAATACCATGTTCTTGGTGTTAATAACAACTATGTACCATAGAAGCCCAAGAAAACTGTCTGGAAGTGAAAAACAATTTTGGTTGGAAGGAATTTCTGGAGGTGAGCTAATCTAAGCCCCAGCTCAAAGCAGAGGTAATGTTAAAGTTACATATGTGCAAATGTTTGCAAAAATATTTTCTGCCCACAGTATAGATAAATAAAAAGTATTGTGTATATGGTGAGCATATCCATATTTTATACACACACACCAGAGCAGAAACCTGCAGCAGTGCAATCACTGTCCAGCACTAGGATCTGCCCCCAAATGAATAATGACTTTTGAGTAACGGCAAGTGAGCCCGTTTTTGACAAGACTCTCAGTCATACCCTCAGAAGGTGATGGGACAGTGTAACCGTGGCCAGCACCCCTGGGAAGCCAGGCACTGGCACATCCTCCTGTGCCAGAAGCACTTCCTCAAACCAGTCTGTGCAAGTCAAATAACTCAGGATGACAGCAAATTACAGATCCACTGCAAAGCAGGGATATCCAACTTCCCTTCCTTGCCTAGATCGCCTTCCAGACTGAGTGAAGAACTTCCTCACCTGCCCTACCCACTGAGCATCCTCACCAGCAGGCTCTGCAGTAAATTGGGATGGGGTTTCCTTGGGCAGCTCTCCCTCGTGGAATGCCCCAGAGTACCCAACCACACAGACCCTGCCATAGACCTCCAAGACCTGGAGGTTTTGCTGCTTGCCAAAATTCACATTCACAGCATTGCCTCTGGAAGGGCACATGTATGAGCAGGAGCCCTAATGAAATGCCAGGCTGGCTGCTCCACACTGGGGAAATGTTCAGTCCTGCAAACCTTGTGTCCCTCCTGTGCTTTTCCTGATGCTCTCAGTTTCTGGCAATGTCCCTGAGACACCTCTGAGTGTCAGGAGTTGTGTTCTGCTTTGCAGAAATAATGTTTAGATGTGTCATAAAGATATTCTGACAACTGCAGTATTCAAGCTAAACAATGCCTACATCTCAGAGACTTTCAGGATTTTTCCTCCAAAACTAGACTAAGTTTTCACCAGCTGATCTCACAGACACTGATCCTTTCTTTCCCAAGAGCCTTTCTTGTGTCTAATGCTGTTACCTGCTGTGGGAACAGAATGAAGGCACAACAAACAACACTGGCTAATAGAACACTAGAAAAAGGACAAGGATCTGTGCATCAATTCCCATAATGAATCCATTTTTGGTTTAACTGAAGTTTCAGGGATCACCAGTCCCTGTCTGTGCACTTGCACACACACCAACCCACAGCTGCACATACATCTGTCTCCCTACAGACAGCCCCAACATGGAGCCCCAATATTTGCCTCACTTTCCCCAATAAAAAGATGGGATTCCATAGTGCTGGCTCAATCCATGTGGCATCTACCCCCCTCCCCCCAAACACCACTGCCCATGCAAGGAAGGGCTCGTGCTTTACCAGCTCTATTGATCCACTCAGACCTTTGGGTGGGGAGGAAAGCCTCTTTAATTACTTTGGCTGATTTTCAAGTTCTGTTTTGCCTTAACAATGTCTTCAGAAATCCAGTACTGCATTTTAGCATTGTTATTGCCTAACTCAGATTTGGAGTTTTGCTCCTCAGAGAGGCACCTTCTACCTCAGCCTGGCCAGCCCATGCTTGGCATCATAATCACACCAAGTCATTCATTTGCCTTCTCTAAGGATTTGATAACCTCTACACTTCCCTCAGCCACAGGTGTTTTGACCTTTAATTAAAAGGAAAATTTATTGTCTTCCACTCAGAAGGCAGCAAATAATGAACTCATTAAAATGAGGTTACTGTTCCGGCCTTAGAGCAATAAGAGCCAAAGTCTCATTAGCAGCTAACAATCCAGAACATAGCACATAAATAAACCTAATATGGCAGAGCAAAATGCCTTGGTGCATTAAATTTGAGCAGAATCAAATGTTTACAGTCAATGATGTCTGGGGCATGAAGTCTTAATGTACTTAATGAAGGAAAGCAAATTACTTCTTATTAGGCATGAAATGTTCCTGCAGAAATCACCCCAAAATGTTTATTATGTAAATGAGGGATAGAGTTAGAATTAACAAGGACATAGCAGAGAAATATCAACTTCTTCCTAATAGATGCAGCAATTATGAAGAATAAAGACACAGCAACTTCAAATCTAGAAAAGGTAATTATATGGATTAATGTAAAAAGCTACTGAATGCAATATAATGAAGAAACTGTATCTTGTGAGTGTCAGAGAGAAGCTTCGCTGACAAAGCAAAGAATCAATTAATAAAGTTAAATCGATGAGTTTAGAGATATTCCAGGCAATTAAGGGCTTACCTTAAAAAAAGCCCTGTCTTTGCTTAGCCAGGCATAGAGATGTGCCTGTTTGCCCCTGCACAGTGTGCTCCATGGCTCTTTCCTTGGAAAGTGATAATCATTAAGCATGATCTGTTCAGCCGTCCAAAAATAACCACCTGTGGTTCAACAGGGAATGCTGGTTTTACTTCCACAGGCATGCAGTGGGGACAGGGGTGGGATGGAGATCACTGAGCCCCCAGGGAAGGGGGTATACCTGTGAAGCCAGGGACAGCAGGCAGAGGGGGAATAGCTGTGTGGCACCTGGCCTTGGAAAGGGATCAGCTTTCCAGCTGTTAAAATTCAATAGACCTTCTCCACCTTGCAGAGCCTTCAGAATCAAATCAAATAAATACCTGCTGCCTCCCATGGAGCCTGTGCAAATCCTAGGAAGGTTTCTGGCCCTGGGTGCCAGGGATATGCAGCTTCTCCACTCTTTCATTAAAAATAGGGAAAGCAGACCCTAATCACCTAAAAAGTTGTTCCATATTAAGGGTGTGGAAGACATGAGTGCCCTTCCTCCAAACAGACAAGCAGTGACAAAATGAGTTTGGACTGCCTTAGCTGACAATATCTTCTTAGTATTAAATAGAGGGGAGGTCATGACAACAAAATTGAGCTGCCTATTATATGAATTAATATGCATATATGGAAATTGAAATGGCAAGAAAAAAGCCTTTAGGACCAAGCCAAAGCCAGTTTGAGTGACAGATTTGCCCTTTAGACAGAGGAAAATGCTTGACACGCTGCAGGTTCCAGGATTCACATCTTAATCCTCACTCTGTGTTTTTAATGAGGCCAGGCTGGGCTGGGAAGCTCCTGCCTATCCTGCAGCTCTGTCATCTTGCAGAGATGTGAGGGGAGCAGGAGAGGAGCAGGTGATGAAATGATGTTTGTTCCCTGCCCCTTCTTCTACTGCACCTTAAGTGATGATAATTTCTCAAGATGTTCTTCCCTCAAAGGAAAATTAAATTGATTTTGCTCAGCCCATCAGTCTTTCTCAACATATCTAAAATGCTCTAGATAGCTTGGAAAATTATCTTCTAAAATATAACGACTCTGATTCTACGCTTCTGACTTTAATGGCGTCAATTTAGTGGGGATTTTTACCAGCTGGGGATTTTCCTCAATGTTTCAGCTAACAGTGGTGTTCATCTCTGAGGTTTTGCATTTTAGTGAACGTTTACTTGTTTTATATTATGTAAATATAGCCCCACATGTGAGATTGTCACAGGACTGAAATAATCAACTTACTAAATGTCTGGCAAGATAGGCTGGAAACCATACAACCACCTTAATATTTAATGCTAAAGCACAAGATTTACTGACATAAGATTGCTTTATTTCCTTCGGCAAGGAGAGGAATTTGCTTGGTGACTGTTGCAGCTGATAAACACTATCTCAATTTTACATCTTCCTTGTCACTCTAAGTATGTTTCTATTTTAAAAACTCAAGGCAGATGCACCCTGCCTGGAAGTCTGTCGTATTACACTCACACACCTCAGCGGCTTAAACCCTGCTTTTGTGGTTTATCCTGCACAGGAGATACTTCTGGTTTCTGGTCCTTGCTTAAATTAGACCAAAAAACTATTTTCCTATGAGGTTAAAGGAAATTATGACCCTACAGAATGTAATTTTTTCAAATGAAGGACATTAGCTGGGCTGGGGTAGGGTGTAAACCACTGCAATCATTTTATCTTTGAACTCTGCAAGAACATGAAGGTCCAATCAATAGGAGTGTTATTAATAGATAATAGGAAAAGTTCTCAAGAGCCACATAATGGGAGGCACAGAAAATGGATGAAAACAGAGTTTATAACCTATTCAGCATTGGCAAGGCCAACAGGGAGAGAAATGCACTCCCCATCTCACATGCAGCACCCCCAAATTCTAGGGGCTGGGGACCCAAAGCAGATCTATGCACAAGGAGCAGCTCCAGGTGCAGTGCAGAGCTAACAACCAGTGGTAAACATCAAGTAAAGCTCACACAGGTTTAATCATCTTCTCCCTTTCCCTAGGAGCTAGAAATACGTCCAGAACAAAAACTGGACCAGTGGCCAAGACTATTTTTTCCATAAGAAGCACCCTTTGCTTCCTTTCATTTCCAGTGGGCTTACCTTAGCTTGGAGGAGAGAATAAAAATAAACATTAATTAAATTAAAAATGCATTTATGACATGGACACAGCTTCTACTACAGGCCAAACCTGAAGCTTTGCTCATTCACACTTAAGCCTGAATTTGCTATTCAGACACAGCCCAAAATGGTCCTGCAGGTAAGCAAATCCCAACACCTTCATGCCTAGATGATGAGTAGTATTCTTAATTTTATTTTGGGGTTTAAGCACATTTTATCAAGCTTCACTAATGAAGTGAGCCAGTATATTGCTGCCTCTGAGTGGCAGGATTTGAGTCCTGCTATGGATCAGTGCCCCAGGGGAAAATGTCCTTGGCCAAGGCACAGAACCATCACCTCCTTGGACACTCAGGCACTCCCACTACCTTTTCTAGCCCATCAAACTCTCATGGAACAAATTAAGCTCTCTGTAATAGTCCTATAAAAAAAGATGAGCCCAAATAATATTAATTTTTCTAAATTCATGTTAATTTCTTATTTATTTCAGGCTTTACTAGAGACTCAAAATTTACTGCGCACTCAGGTTGCAAATTTTACCTTCAACCTTGGATTTTCAGGAAAATTTTACCACACAGGTAAGAAGGAACTTCATGCAGTTAAATAGGTGACAGAATTTTAAATCTACCTTTAAACATTCCCTTTCTAAATAATCAGAGGCTCTGAGACATCATTTTGCCAATCTTTTATATTTCATCACACCTATCACACCTGAAAAAACTTACTCTGTCTCCTGAGGAATTAGAGAGATCTCTGCAACCACTTTGCCTCCTTTATAACACTAAGATTTACCACCACATATCCTTCAGGAAAACACCAAGGGCATCCTTGTGTACCTGAGCAGTTCATCCATAGTGTGTCTTTACCCCTTTGGACACTGAAATGGTGGAACATCTATTTATTCTTCTTTAAAACAGAAAGGATTATGCTTCATCTTGGTTGGGTTTTGTTATAGTAAAAGTGCAAAAATTTATTAGGTGTATACCTAAATGTACAAAAAAAATAATGGGGAAAAGTAGGTTTTTTTCAAGAACCACACTCTACTTCACAAGTTAATAAGGCACTAAATTGACCTAAATCTACAATCTCTTCTTGTAGTTCTTTTTGTATTTCAAATACTCACTTGTTTCCTCTCCATCCCTAACTTGGGCTTATCAAAGAGACCCACAGCTGCCTCACAAACTCCATTTTCTCCCGGCTCTGTCCCATTTTGAAGGCCTGGGTTAAGTTTCTTCACTTGCCCATGGCTGAGTGACTGCAAGTGAATAACAAACCCCAAAACCAGCCAGCAGTCACTCCCAAAATGCAGGGCACAGAGGGAGCAGCCATCAGGCCTTTCTTTTCAGTATGGAATTCTCCAGTAAACAAGGTTGTTTTCTTTTTCCTGCAGCACTCCCATCATAGGAGAGCAGCTTCCTTAGAACTCACAGAGTGCTGCAAAGAGGGAAGCAAAGGAATTCAGTGACTCTGGGAGAAAGGTTCAAAGTACTGCTCTCCTTGTGTAGTGGCATTCTTCAAAAACCACAGCAGAAATGGAAAATAAAAGCCAAGAGCTGAAGTGCAGGCACTGAACAGGGATCTCTGGATGTTCCTGCCAAGTAAACAGTGACATCCGTGGAGCTTTCGCTTCCAATGAGTTTTGCAAAACATTAAAGGGCCTGTAAGAAGACAGGATTTCTGTGTTTGCATCAGGAGACTGATTTTGGCAATTATTTCTTAGACTGAAACAAAATGAAAGCATTCAAATTGCAACGAACACAAAGGAAATGTTAAAATATTTGGTTTGCTAAAAACCAAATATTCTTGGGTGGCTTGAAGGTGAGGTTACTGGAATGTCACTGTGCCTTTCCAGGCTGGAAAAGCAGGGCAGATGTGTCTGCAAATGGTGGCAGAGCATTGGGTCCTCTCTCAAATTGAAGGTTTTCTTTGTTACAGCCACAAAACCTTGCTTCTGCCTGAAGCAGATCCCCTTCACTAACACAGGAGATTTTATTGGGTTTCCTTCAAGATTAAATCTGGTCAAAATTGAATATTGAACCCTAAGAAATATTTGGAAGCCTTTGCCATTACAGCTTCATGCTTTCCACCTAGTTGTATTTTAAAACTTGTTTCACACTTTACCAGAAATGATCAGATTTCAATTAACCAAGGCTAATAAAGGGGTAGTTACTAGGAGGATAGAGGGGAAGCTTTGATAAGATTTCATTTTTATCCATATGTTGCCTTTATGGAGAGTACTTGGTATTTAACAGTGACATTATTATCAGGACAAAATGGAAAATAACTGATACCTTTTCTTTAATACCAAACATCATCATTTGTCCAGCTTTCAAAAGACCTGGAAAACAGCATTAACATTCCTGGCACTGTTTTGTCATATTAAATCCATCTGCCAGGTTATGGGGATAAAAAGACAGTGTGGCATTAAAATAAAGCAAATAGAGAAAATGGGGAGGGGGTGGTTTTGAAGATCATTATATGTTAAAAAGAAAGTCCTACTGTTTATATTTAATATTCCCATAGTTTTTAAAAATAATAGGAGTACAGTGAGACAAGCCAAAGACACCAGGGTTTTTGGCAGACTCTTCTGTGTTAAAAAAGCAATTATGGGCCTTTTTTGCTTTCTAGCAACTTTTTTTTTCCTTTCTTCCCTCTGCAGGGACGGAGGAGGAGGATGAGGGTGATGACCTGCTGCTGAGATCTGTGGATGAATTCTGGTGGTTTCCCCACATGTGGAGTCACATGCAGCCACACCTCTTCCACAACGAGTCCTCACTGGCGGAGCAGATGATCCTCAACAAAGAGTTTGCAATGGTGAGGAAGAGTTCCCAAGAGATTTACTGGGATGCCTTCACTACCATGGCCATGCCTTCCCCACTGGTTTCATGCTTGTCTATACAATACCTATAATTTACTCAGGCATGCGAACAGAGGCATGAGTGAGGTTAGAAACTCATCCCAAACCCAGCCTGTTTGTGACTAAAACTGAATTTTGTCTTGGCCTTTCCCATTGACGCAGGCTCTCTGCAGAGGGAGCAGCCCTGCCCCAGTATCCTGGCAGGACCATGGGGATCAGAATCAGTGCAAACACAGCAGACAGCTGCTGGCCTAAACAGCTTTAAGCAGCACTTTGTACACAGGTTATCAGCTTGGCAAACTCTGCTGCAAAATACTCAGTAAGGCAGGGAGGAAGCTGCAGTGAACTCTAAACCTGGTGTGTGGTTTGGGACAAATCTTGATGCTGACAAGTGAAGCTTCTGGGTTTCACTGTGTCTTTTTAAATGACCTGTTTGGAAAATGCAGGTCATTGAATACAGCTAACCTCTTGCTGATATTGACAGATAATTGTGCTTCCCTTTTCCTCATTTGTGCTCTGAACTTCCATGAGCCACCCTCCCCCTTGCCCAGACCTCACAGTACTTGTACTATTTACAGCCTTTTCAGGATAATTCTGCTGGCTTATTGCACATGGCAAAGAGAACCTGAAATCCATAAATGCTGGCTTTAGAAAGACGCTGTGTGGTCTTTGGTGAGGCACAGAAATGCCAAGCAACTAGAGCTGCTCACAGGAGCTGAGGGACACAGTGGGGCTTTCTCAGCTGCTTTGGGAACAGCAGTTCCCCAACCCTTCCCAGCTTCCAAAGGCCAAGCCCCTTCCTCCCAACCCTCACATGAGCCAAGGCACATCAGGAAAAAGGCAGACGCAAATGCCTGAACAAGCAGTTGGAAGCAATTTATTCCCTTGTTTATGGAAATACCTTCCAACCAACCTTTAAAGAAAATTAATTAAAAATGGCTTAACTGTTTACTTGTTATGCCAGACTTGCCTCCCTTCCCATCTCCTGCTTGGCAGGATGGCTTCCTTTCCTTTCTACGCTCCTGCTTCCCTGTCAGCCTTCCTGGCACAGCCTGTTCATGCCTTTGGTGTAGCCTGGCCCAGAGACACAAACAGAGCTGAGACTTGAAATGCAAGAGTAATTTTTTAAATAATCCATATATCAAAAATACACAACCCCTTCATCTTTAAACCTCTGGGGAAATTCTAGTATTTTCAGGAAGCATGGAGTCACCCAGGTCAAGCCACCTTTGGGAGTAAAATCTATAGCATGGCCTGAAAACAGAGCTGGTAATGGAATCTGTTTGTAACTTCCACTCCAGAAAGATAAAGCCTGTGTCCTGAAGGGTAGAGACTCCTTAGGGTGCCTATAAATAAGGAGCTGATGTCAGTGAAAAGCTGCTGTTATTACACTTTTATTTCCTGCTAACATTTAAACAGGAGTTGTATCAACCCCTTGACCTTGAATCTATATGAGCTGTACCATTTACTTATGAGAACATTTCTTTTCAAAAGGCTTCCTCTGAAATTCTCTCTTGTGGGAGAAATTCATCTTCCCTCTATGACAGCCTCCTTGATAGCTATCAGAGAGGTCCCAGCCATGACTTCAGAGTGGTTTCATTCCTCCCTGGCTGTCTCATCCTCAGCATCATGTCTTACTTGAGAAACAAATTCCCTGTTCCGCAGCTGCACTTCTCTAAGCCCTCCAAGTTAAAGCAAACCTCTTCCCATTATTCTCTGATGTCCAAGGTGGATCCAAATTTAAATTAGACATCTGGATCAATACATGGAAAATTTGCTTGATGTTACATGTGTTTTGTCTGTTGTCCACTATATTATACTCAGGAGAACACAGCTTGATGCTGGTGCCATTTTCTCCTGAATTTCTCATTTATTGACCATATCTCCCTACCTCCTGTTTTGGCTGCACATACAGGTGACACTTTGTGTCAGCTTCTGCAAGAAAAGCTGCAGTAATTATTTGGAAGTGTGATCACATTAATTCTTCACCTAAGGTGCTATTTCTTTGTTCACTTTTTTTAAACATGGCTAAGGAGATAACAAGGTTTTCTGGAAGGGAGAGCACACCATTATATCCAAGAACAATACTCAAGGTTGCTGAAGATGCCAAATAACTCCCAAAAGTTCTGTTTATTATGACCGTTTGCCTGCTCTGGCTGGTAGATAAAAGCCTTGTCTCTGTTTCACATGGCTTTATCCACACCCCCTAACAAAGCTCTGTAAAATGGAGCTTACAATTGCAGCCTGCCTCAAATAGCCCTGTCAGCACACAGATAGAAATCAGGTACCTAAACAGCTTTTTACACACAGAACTAATTGCTAATTAGGTATCTAATTGCCTTGATCTCAGTGCAGTTATGGACACCTCTGTGCATCTGCCTTCAAGGATTCCCTCCCATGCACATTGCATGTGAACCAGGAGGCTGCCTTCACCCAGAGCCCTCCAAATTGTTCCATGCATCCCTGAGATATTTATCATTTCCACTGCCTCCGTGGTGAGAGGAAGAAACTTGCTCACATCCTGCAATAAATGTCATTGTCCCATTGCTCTGGATCTGGTAAGCAGCAGGGGAAATTTGCCTGGCAAAATCCTTATCCAAGTGTACCTGAGTGATGGCCCCATAGCTGCACCATGCATAGCCCCATTCCCAAAGTCCTCACAGCCAAATCTCTCATCAAGCATGAGATCCTCAGCCCCAGAGGAGCAAGAGCCAGAGGTTTTAACTGTGCTAAAGTTACAGGCTGCCCAAAGCCTTGCTATCCCAATGTCATCCTATTTATGCAAATATGGATGGTGTGTTCCAGAGCTTACCTAAGGAAGTGGGAAATTAAAATTATTTTGATTATCAGTTGGGTTTGAGTTGATCATGTTTTGTGGTTTGGGGTTTTTCTCTATCAGAGAATCCCAAAATCCATTAAAAACATTAATGAACAAAATCTCAGATTAAATTTTACAAACTGATAATTCCTCAAGTACTATTCTCCTTGTTTATAGACAATGCAATGGATACACAGAGAGGCAAAAAAATTACTCATGGGGAAATCTCTGATAGCATATATTCCAAAAATAAAACAAACCAAGCTTTCCCTGCCATCAATAACAAGATATTCCTCCTCCCACTTTGTACATCCTTATCTGACAAAAACAACTAGAATGTATCTAATCCAAAGCCTGTAGCTCTTTATTCCATCCCTGGTTTGTTTGCTCAGTGATTATCTTCTGTGCTCATTTGTGAGTACAAAGCCCAAAGCACAGCAGAGACAGGGCAAAAACTGTCACTGGCTCCACGAGGCAGCTGGGAGCTGACAGGAAGGAGAAACAAAGATGTAGAACTAAACAAATCAATTGAGGACCTGTCTAGCAGGACTCCTTGGCTCCCACCTCCTGCTTACAGCCAACTGCAGATGCACATTAGCACTTCCTCTGCCTGCACCTCTTGAGCTGCTCAAACCACAAGTACAGCAGGAGCTTTTAATACACCAATTAAATCCCAACAATGGGAGGGCTCAGTGACCGCACAGTCAAGGCTAAAGCATCTACATGTGATGAAAAGAGCCTCATTTGGCCCATTATTAATATCTGTACTTCATGTGGGGAAGGAGAGCTGCCCACTGCCTCTAAAAATGGGCTGTGAATATAGGATAAAATCATCCTGTGCAGCAGGATCAGATTTATTCTGCCTCACCTTATTTTGTTCTGAAATACTCATTTGCTGCATCACCTGCTATCAGACAAAGCCAAAAGGTTGTGCAGACTTAGCTGAGGTTGAATTTAGCTTTTGCATCTAATAAAAGCCTTCACATCTGCACCTTGACTGACTGTGTGCAAAGACCTACAGTAGACATAAAATTTATTAAATTAAAAGTTAGCATTCTTATTTTCTCTAACAATGGCAAATCATACCTACATTCCAAACTAAACCAACATGCACAAATTTTGAAAACAAAAAACCCAATGTACATTTTCAAGGCAAAAATCAGGCAATTGCTCCTTAGAATACACAAGGAAAATACTCAGTATTTCTCATATCTTGACACACCAGTATACTCCTCCTTTAACACATGAGTTTTCACTCCCAAAATAAGTTTAATAACAAAAAATCAGAAAATCATTAAAAGGGGACACACAGTATTTAATCTTCCCAGGTAAACTGCAAATAGAACTGCCCAAAGAAAACAGAATTATTTGATAGTTGTTTCTCCTTAACTCCACACTGGCTATCGGATGTATTTGTGTGCTGAGCTATGCAGTGAGCAGGTTTTATTCAGAGACTAACTTGTGTTTTATGTTGAGAACTCCTGAAAAACTGCCTGATTTGATTTGTGAATGGCAGATCACCATTTCAGCATTGTGTTGCCATGGCAATTCCAGCATCAAACAGCCAGGAGATAAACAGGATCTTACACATATTCATCCAGATCCCTACTTTGGGATAAGTCATCCAGAACAGTGTTCATTGTCAACCCCAGGACACATTTGCCTTACATCTCTGTTTCTGTGTACTCCCTACCCCACATTTTGTGAAGGTTTGTCCATGAAAGCTGAGACAGGATATTCAGGTTAACAGTTTCACAGTCCGAGCATCACAGACCTCCCAGGCATGGCAATAAATGGCCAGATTCAAAGAAATCTTTTGATTCAGCTTTTTCCTTTTTACATGTCCATGGCAAAAAAAAATAATTAAATAGAGAACAGGGTGATTTACCATCCGTCATTATAGAGCTATCCTTCATTCCACCCTTAAACTGACTCATGCCTCTCAAGTAGGCAACAGCATTAACAAACTGAAATTACTTTATGTCCTCAATAAATGACAAAATAGAGAGTTTGGGTTTCTCTTTTACAGGATCGGTCTGTAACCAGCGGTCTTTACTATAAAGAGTGGATCATTTAAAGTGGTTGCATTATGTAATGTAGGAATTAATGTTCCCTACAGATTTAACCTCATTTTTGCCAATGAATCAAAACCCTTTCTTTGTTAAGTACTTGAGGATGCCCAGCAGAACCTGCTGTTCCTGGAATTAAAGTAATCAATGGATAATGTGGGCAAAAGGAAGGACAAAAAACCCCCCATAAAATAATCATCTCATATTTTAGCCATTTCTCTCTGCAGATCAGTTTAAAAGGAGTAGAAAAGGGCTGACGTGTCTGGTAGTACTGGGAGCAAGATGAATTTGTGTCTTTGGAGGAAATTTGCAAGATAACCTATAGATTATATGATGAACACGCATATATTTCCATAGAGGAATTGAGCTAAATATAAATATTGATAAAATGTAAAAGTAGTGCAAGCTATTTTTTGCTATACTCTAACACCATGGAAAAAATCAGGAGATTCAGAAGATATGAGGAACATTTACTTATAAAACTAGGAAGGAATTTTTCTCCTATGCCAGAACTAGGAAACAAAACCCCATATATGTCACTGCAACATTTTTTTCCGTCTGTTTACTAGCTTAGTAAATAAGCAGCAGTGGTTCACTAGATTACCTTTAAAAAGAACCAGGCAAAATATGTGCAATATGTAATGGAACAGGAGGCAAATCTATTCCATGCAACAGCAATGGAACATAATCCAGAAGGATTACTCCTTCCTCACTGCAGTCACCCAACTGTAATTCCAGTTCCTTCCAGCTCGTGCTACACTATGTACAACTCTGTCTAGGGACAGCAGCTTCTCCAGTGCCACAGCGTGCAGGAATACAGCTCTGAATGACGACATGGGAGGGTGTTCTGTGTGTCCCTAACTTGTCCATCCCTGTGGTGCCCTACCCTGCAGGAGCACGGCATCCCCACGGGCATGGGCTACGCGGTGGCCCCACATCACTCGGGGGTGTACCCGGTGCACGTGCAGCTCTACGAGGCCTGGAAGAAGGTGTGGCACATCCGTGTGACCAGCACAGAGGAGTACCCACACCTGAAACCTGCACGGTACAGACGGGGCTTCATCCACAATGGCATCATGGTACACTGCATTTCCATGTTCATAGCAATACTACTGCAGGGACTCCAGAGGGGGCTGCTCTTACTGGAGGCCTCACCTCTGCCAGCATCCTTAACATTCCTTAAAATTCCCCAGGATCCAGCAGCTGTAAGGATGCCCAAAGAGTGCATTTGTTAGGCAGTTTAAAAGAGGGGGACAAAAGTCACACAGACTCAGGCAACTGCAGAAGTATTCCTCAGAAACTAAATGTGCTCGTGGCCCCATCACTACCAGCCGAGTTGTGGCTGCATTCTGTGAAATCATTAAATGGCCTAAGACCTCTGTTCCCAGCTCTGCTTCATCTTTATGCATGAAAGGATTAGAAACCCATCACCTGGGAAGGTGAACAGGTGTAAGTAATCTCCTCCAGCACTTCTGCAAAGCTGAAGTTTCAGCTCTGCTCCTGAAATTCCCAGAGGCAGGACTGGGACACCTGCCTGACTCTTACACCCCTCACCCAGGGGAGAGAAGTCTCCTCCCATGCACTTAAAAGTGCACAGAGGACAGGAAAACTTAGCAAGCCCTTTGGCCTGTCCTACCAAGCTGGGTGTTCTAAAGTGAACTGACAAATATTCCAAGGGATGGTTTCAAGTCCCAAAAGCTGCTCTGAATATTGCCTGTGCATACCAAGTGCAATTTGTGATCCCCTAAACAAGGCAGAGGGAGTGGCTCAAAAGCAAATTCCTGCAGAGTCCAATTACTGCTGGAACAGATTCAAGATCAGCAGTATTTTTACACATGTACCCAAATGCTCTACAAATGCAGGTTTTGGTTGTTGTTTTAACTGAGTAAAACTATATAAAATATTGAATTAAGGGAAACCAAAGTCCTTCCCCAGGTTGATTATGGCACTGCAATACCTGAATAAGCTGCTGTTCCTCTGTTCCCAGGTGCTCCCTCGACAGACCTGTGGCCTTTTCACTCACACTATTTTTTACAAGGAATATCCTGGTGGTCCTCAGGAGCTGGACAAAAGTATCCGAGGAGGGGAACTGTTCCTCACCGTTCTCCTGAACCCCGTAGGTACCTTCTTGTGCTGTTTTTGGATGTGCTGACTGGCAGGGAGGAGGGAGGGGGAAAGGGAAGGAGATCAGGTTGGGAAATCAAAACCAGGACCACTTGCTCAGACATAACAAGCAGTTTAAGAACAAAGGAGAAAAGTGTCTTCTGCCAATTTCCAGCTACAACTGTACCTGCAACAATTTCCTGGGAAATGCATTAATTCCAGCTCCTTATTGTTTCCCAGCCTGAAGCCAGGACCCCCTGAGAGACGTGTGAAGCTGAAACTAACCTGTGAGGGTAGAAAAAACTGATCTTGTTCATTTTTTTTCTTTTTTTCATGAGCTTAGCTCCTCAGGCACTCCTCATATAGCTCAATGGAAACCCCAGGGCTCAGGTCTGATACCATTCCTCCATCACCAGCTCCTAAAAACAGGTTTTGAGCTGCTAAAAAAATGCCTGGTACCATTTAAGACAGGAGCCTACAGGTGCAAGGAGCAAGTGAAAGAGCCAACCCCCCCCATGTATTGATTATTTTTTCTTGACATTGTCCTCCCTCCTTCCCATTGCCCCCAAATAAGCTGTACCAGGCACAAAATGAATGTCCCTGTCTTTCCAGGTGGCCTCATTTTCAGTGAGTTTAAACTCCAGTACTCATTGACTCCTCTGCAGAGCTAAAGCAACTTCAGGTAGAGCTGACTCAAATCCAGGTCACTTTTATTTAGACACCTAAAAATAGATTTTTGGTGCTATACAGTTAGATGCTGGTGAGTGAACATTTGGCTGGGTAAGTAAGTTGGTGTCCGAGTGGGATTCAGTGGTCTTAGAGAAATGGAACTTTGGAATTTTTCTATACCATACACATGACACCTCACTTGGGAATAAAACATCCTTCTTCTTTATCCTGCCTCCCCACTACCTGCAGTTCTCTCAGGCTGGCTTTTCTTCCCATGCTTTCCTGAACTGTAGCTTGGAATTCACACTGAGCTTTATCATACTTGGATGAATACCTGTGCATTTCTCACTGAGGTGAAGATTTCCTCAGATTTGGGCAGTGCAGCAGCCTGCAGCAGAGCATGTACAACTCCTAACCCCACAAGCAATGCTTAGAACAGCCCAAATTCCTCAGCCAATCTGTGTCCCAATAACTTGAGAGTGCCCTAGATATTGGTGGTGGTATTTGAAAAAACTGCCATGATCAACTTTTGATTAAACAGATTTTCAAAAGATATATACAAACTCCATCCCTTCCTCAGATCATGGTTAGCAATTTCAGCAAATATATTACAAATACCTATTAAGCTCAAATACCAAAAATGTTTGTGCTTCCATGAAGCAATATCACACAGATGGTTAAATTAGAAAGTGCCCAAGGGACACTGCATTGAAATAAAGTTTGCAGAGAGATTGTCAAGGGGATCTTCTGATGGAATTTTTTTAAATGGCTTCTACTAAATACTCTGTGGCTCAGAGATATATTTTCACTGTCTAATTTATGAATCCTAAAGATGAGTCATGTCTGGCAGAGATGATTTAGTAGTAGGCAGAGGAGGGATAAATTCCACCAAGACAGACAGAAATCAAACCAACTTCCTTGGAGTTTTAATGAGGGTTACAAGAATCCCAGGCAGACCTTTCCAGAATCCAGCTAAGGCAGCAGGCTGCTCAAGTCTGCAGTCTGGGGTACTTACTCTTTGCATAAACACTTCAAAGCAAAGCTCATTGAAGTTAGTGGGGAAGGCTCAGCAAACAGACTGGCCTTGAAATAAACCCAAATAGCCAAATTCTTTCAAAGGTATCAATCCAGCTCCCCTCTGAAGGGTTTCCTTCATGTGGAGGCTAAGAGCAATAACAAGGAGCTTCAGATGTATGTACAAATAAGAAATACAAATACAGTTTGGGGCAGAAAATTAAATATTATCTTCTTGGACTTTTGCTTTACTATTTGATACAAGTAAGAAAAATTTCAGTTTTAAAGTTTCCTATCTCCCTTGCCAGACCAAAGCTGACTGTTCAATCAGAGTTAAGTTATAATCATCTTTGATGTTATTTACTATGTGGTTTGACAAACATCAAAACCCAGTTAGTCACTAAATCTTAATTAGGACAGACCTCCCAAAAGCTGTAGCATCAGCACTTGCAGAGCAGCAGTGAAAAGAGAGCAGCAAAACCACCACACTCACTAGAAATAAGGGAAGAGGGAAAAATTACCTCTAAAGCCACAACCAACCAAAATATAAAAAAGCTTTACAAAACTGGTTTTGTGCCCAATCTAATTTTGATAGCAAAATAAAACTTGTCCCAACACTATGATTCTTGTAACAGCATAAGTATTTCTGTTAAGTATAGGTAGATCTTAAGCCAAGAAAACACATTAATACTCCAAAAAGTACATTGCTGCTCATGATGTATGTTCAAAGACAGGAGTGCAATATTAAAGAGCATCTTAAAAGAAAATCACCATGTCCTTAATGGGAAAATAACACTACCCAGCTATGTAAATATGCTAGAAAATTCTCTGGTTCTCATCAGCATTATGAAAAAAATATTTAGGTTTTCTGCAGGTGTGCAGCATCCCACAGCTCCAGCAGCAGAGGCAAAGTCAGCTTGAAACTTGTAAAAATTTTTTTTCTGTTTAAAACCACGTTGAACAGCATCATGTGATTTTTTTCTCTTCCTAAACCTTCTCAATTCTTTACAACTTTTTGCAGTGCTTTGAGATATCTTTTTAACATTTGCTTCATTGGGTTATATAAGATGAAAAAAGAAAGCTGATGGCATTTCAAAGGAGTTCAACATTTCAGTTATTTTCAGCCTTTTAAAAATTCTACCGCTCATTATTTGCTTAGCCTAATTGTGCTCTAGAATAACTTTTTCTTCTCACAGAATATGTTCTTACAATCTCCCTCCCTCACTGTTTATTTCACCAGTGCTGTGCACATTGGTTTTCTTTTAAACCTCTTCCCATCAACTCTCTAGGCACTTCTGGTTTTGCCACACTCCATAGAGAAACGAGCAGTAGAACCAGCCTGCTTTAAGGTCCCTTTTCTTTTTTTTGGAAAGGGAATTTGGTTTGGAAGCTGGGCTATTTTCCCAGGCTCCCATCATCTGCTATCATGACCAAACACAGAACAGGAGGGGGAGAGAGCAAATGGGATGAACAGAGCAAATCCCTCTCTGCTTCCAAATGTAACCTGTGAAAACTCAGAATTAAAGGCAACCCATTTGTAACAAAGCCCCCAAAACGTTAAAGCTTTCAGCAGCAGAAAAAAAAAAAAAAAAAAAAAAAAAAAAAAAAAAAAAAAAAAAGAAGAAGAAAGAAAACCCCAAACAAAACAAAACAACAAAAAAAGAGCAGATTTCTCATAGGCAAAGTTAGAGAGCTCCATTGGTTCTGAAGTTTTCAGGGAGATTTTCCACATCCAAATGTCAGACTCAAAACCGAGTGGGTTCTCTGACCCTGCCCTTCATTCAGTCTCGCGGGAAGAGTCTGACATGTTTAATGCTTTTACAAACTGTTCTATTTATCACCTCTTGAGTATCCACAAGGTCTCCCACTATCTGTTTGATGGCTCCTTTCCTTTCCTCCCCTGCTCCACAGGCCATAAACAACAGCCATAAACATTTAACAGCCAAGATAAGCTAATAAATACAGCCCTAAATATTACTGCCTCCACAAACAACAGCGAGAGAGTCATTTCTCCTAAAAAACACCTCCTTAAACCGGAGAGCTTTTTATTAAGCCAGCAAGTGACAGCACAAAAGGCACCTCAGTCGAGCACTGCAGCAAAAATGAGAGTATGGGGCTTTGAGGAGAAGCAGCAACACCCACGGGCTTGGTTGAGCAGTCAGTGAATTGGATTTATTTGCCAATGGGATACACGTTTTCCCATTACCCATTCATCTTGAAAAGCTTTTGGATAACCCAGAATCCTGGCACCCCTTTCCTGCAGCACCCTGTTTTCTCTCCCTGTTACACAGGAATTCATCAGGACTGACTCTTCCTTTCCCCTTCCTCTCACAGGGTGTTTTTACTCCATCTCCCACTGACTCCTTTCCATAGTTCCACCATCAAAATGGGCACAAGTAATTTTTCTCCCTATTTTTATATGCATAACCCTCCCTATTCTAGGTTTACACCTGCCTCACCACATAGGATGTAGAGTCAGGCACACCCTGCACAGCATTTGGCCCATAAAGCCACCAAAGTATCACATATTTGCAACTGACAGATCAGGTTAAAAATGGAAAAGCAGCAGAATAAAGGTGAAGTTAAACACTTCAGGCTTCTATTCCCACTTCAATCAAACACCCCTAAGAAGCTTTAAGCAGAGGTGAAACGTGGCAGATGAATTTCAGGAAGATTAGCTTTTCTTCACAGGAATTTGGTTGTCGAGAGCGAAATCAGACCTGTGATTGAAAGGTAACTTTGAACTCCCCTCAGCAGAAGCTACAGGCAGCCCATAATAATGGACATTATTATTCCAACTCCCTGGGAAGTGGCATGGGATGCTTTTAATTCTGAGGGCCACTTAAAGGCATTTCCATTTTTAAACTCTCCCCATGACTAAAGGGCTTTTGCTTATTCCCAGCCTGTTGGATCTGCATTCTCCACATCCTGCATGTGCCACACTTGGAAGACTTTATTCTTGTTCCCTGCTCCCTCTCATCACAGAGACAGGAGAATCACACGTTATTGCTTTGGCATATTAAAAGCAAATACAGAGAGGGGTTAATTTATACCTTCCGCAAGAGATTTGGGAATGTTATTATGGAACATCTTGAGTGCTGGTAATGTTTTTCTTTTTATTTGCTTTGTTTCTCTGAGCATAGTTATAGAAAGAATAAAAAATAACCTTGGGCATTGTAGGAAATGTGCTGCAATCCAAAAGTAATTCACAGTGCGGTTCTGTTGAGGGCTCTGTGAGCTGAGCATCTCAGCACATTTTGGGGACAGAAGAATCAGGCAGGCAACCTCCCAATAAAAAATGCCAATATTTGTGGAGCTGCAGTTATCAGG